AGTAGTTGCCCTCCTCAACGGTATGGTGCCCTGGCAGGGACGCGTAGAGAAGCGCGTGGGGCGCACTGCCCCAAGACAGGTGGCCTACAGTCGACTTTGATCAGTAGGCAGACGATGCCAGTTCGAGGGTGCCCTTGTGTCTTGCGTTGTCGACCTATGCATTCTGTATTTCTATGGCAATGTGGCCCTCGGAAGGGTCTTGTGTCCTCTTGCGTCCTCTCGCGTGTCCTCTCCAATCGATCGAGCACGAACGCAGGAGCCGCGTCGCGCAGGTAGCTCAATCCGGCGGCTTAGCATCGCTCGGACGTGCGCATTATTCCTCGGCGAGGACAATCGAGGAGCATCTCGGATCAAACGCACGAAGTCGAATAATGCACGGGGAATGTTGGAGGAGGAGCAACGGCGTAAATATAAGCGTTTGACGCGCGGCGCAGATTTCTTGGATCTGCGCTTGACTCCTGGCGGCGTCTCCGGCGCTGCCCCTGGCGCGCTCTGCGCGCCAGGGAGGGGAGCTCGGCGCAGACCAAAGAAATCCACGCCGTTTTCACAAGTTTGTGTCTATGCCGTTTTCTGTTCCCTCCTTGGACATTCCCCGTGCGTTGCTCGATTTCGTAGGTTTTTTGTCCTCGAATAGGCGTCTGTTATCCTATAGAAAGAATGTTGAGTCGTGAAAAGGTTATGTCTATATGCAGTTGTTTGTGTCCTCTTACCAGGGACGTCCATGCTGGCGAGGTGGGCTCGCGAGGCTGCCCCCGCAGCTGTTTTTACCACCCACCAATCAGGAGGGTATAAAACATACAGACACAACCAATCGTCGATCCCCAGGAAAATCTAGGACAGTATGGGAAGTGGGAGGGAAGACGAAAACCAATCAAATATGCGAACATATGGAGAATCCCCGGATTTGTGTCTATTTATGTGTGTCCCAGGGCCCCTTCAACCAAGTCACCCCAAACCCCAACACGAAGGCTTCTATTTTGCCCTCCATTCCCAGGGGTTGGGGGGTCGGGGAACTCTATGGGAAAAACACGTACAAAGCCCGTGCAGTCAACGCGCCTAGTAAGGACGCGCGCCTTCGCATAGGGTGCCCTTGTGTCCTTGCCCCTGCGGCCCGTCCTTTGCCGTTTTCATTGGTCGCCCGCCGCCCAGAAGGTCCCAACTTCGGCCTCCAAGGGTCTTGCGTCCTTGCCACCCTTCCTTAGTACACGTTCTGACCGAACCCCCCCCCAACCCGAAATTCAGGTCTTCTGGTCGGGTTGGGCTGTCCCGGTGGGCATAGGCAGCTGCGCCCGAAGGCGGTTGGGGGGAACACTCTGCACCAGTGCGGGCGGGCGTTGCGGGCCGCAGCGGCGTGCCCCTCCTGGGAGGGCGGGCGGGCCGGCGGCCCATGCTGTGCCCTGGGCGGGGCCTGCCCGAGCCAAGCGAGTGGCAGGAGAGAGAGAGAGAGGGAGAGAGAGTCGGGGCTCAAGAGACGGGGGCCGTTGCAAACGGGGGTCCGTCAGAGAGTCGGATCTTGCAGGATCCTGCAGGGCCAGGGGCGCACTGACCCGGGTTTTGGTGCAGGACCCTGCAGGATCCTGCAGGGCCTGACTGACCTGGGTTTGCGCTGACACGGGTCAGTAAAGAGAGAGAGAGAGAGGGAGAGAGAGTTTTGCAGTGTTCGGCTTCTGGAGGCCCTCGCTGGGCCCGAGGACCGTCCACCACTGGTTCAGGATGAAAAGTCGGTCCTGGGGAATGGGTCGAGACTTCAGGGGGGGCCCCGTGTGCAAATGTTTTCAGAGGAAGAAGAGGTACCCGTAATGTTACACTGCTCTCGTTTTCCCCCTTTTTGGGCCTCCTGGGTGGCCCTCGTCGCCACCGCTGGATTCGCTTCGACATCCTGGTTAGAACGCACCCCGAGAGAGGTCTACTTTCAGTTCCCCCACACTGTATGCGAACGTTTCTTCTTTGGACGATGCGCGACCACCTGGCAGGTTGTGTCCCTTGTATTGTACACTGAATGAACTCAGGAACTCAGGGAACGAGACGGAGTACGAATGGGGTATGACATCAGAATATGACATCGGAGAGAGAGAGAGAGAGAGACAGAAAAACAGATAAAGAAGTTGTGTGTGTGGGGGGGGGGGGGGGGGGTGTTGCTGATTTGCTATATAGATGCAGGCCGAAACAGAAGTGCGCCAGCAAAAGCTCGAAGCAGGCTTTCGGGTGCAAGCGGTGTGTGTGTGTGTGTGTGTGTGTGTGTGTGTGCATTTTTCACGGCGCCCTGCTCTTGTCAGCCGAAAGGTATGTGACTGAAGTGGTGACCGACAACGTAGTGTGACCGAAGTTGTGACCGACCTTGAAAATAGCTTTGGACTCGAACCGAGGATGTCGGTCCCACTCTGGCGCACTCGGAAAACATCGGGCGCCGCGTTGGGTCACAATCGCGGGCAGATGTTCGGGCACAGTTTCGGCCAGAGCACCCCCCTGATGGAGACGAGGCTGCGTGACATGTTGTTGACGCGCGAGTTCAGGTGCGCATGGGCGCTGGCCGAGATCTCGGTCGATCCAGACGTCGCCGCGCCGTTTGCTCCGACGCGCAGCCTTCCGTCTTGGGGAGGGCGCCGCGGCCACCGAGGCAGGCGCCGCCGCTCGGGCGCGGTGGGCTTGCCGTGGGGCTGGCCCGTCTGCTGCTGCGCCGGTTTCCCGTGGTGTCAGCATCGTCCACTTCCAAGAGGGGAAAAAGCACACACAGACACAATGAATCGTCGATCCCCAGGAGAAATATGGGAAAATATGGGAAGTGGGGGAGGAGGACCAAAAAAGCCAGAAAATATAGGAAAATATGGGGAATCCTGTTATTTGTGTGTGTATTTATTTGCGTGCCCCATGGATCCTTCACATTTTGGCGCGTCAAGAACATGCGCCGCGGCGCCAGACCGAGTCGGACGAGGCTAGGACGAGGCCAAATCCGTTCCAGAGCGTTCTGCGGCGCTCTCGGGGCGCTCGGGAACGCTCTGGGAAGGCCGCGGCGCCCGAGGCATCCTCCAGAGTCTCTTGATTTCAGAGTGGATGTGAGCTAGAGCTTTTCTTGAAGTGGGTCGGTGACCCGGTGGCCTGGTGAACCAGCGGCGTGGGTCAGTTGACCCGGTGACCTCGTGACCCGGCAGCGTGGGTCAGTTGACCGGGTGACCCGGTGATCTGGCGGTGTGGGTCATTTGACCTATTGACCCGGTGACCCAATTTAAAAAACCTATGGTTCGGAGGCTTCCGGATTTCAGAGATAATCTATCCTCACCCGAGTTGATCTTCGCCTTGGCTTCGTCTTATCGAGCCGGAGTGCTGCGGTCGGCGTTTCGGGGCAGCGCGCGTCGGGCTCGGCCAGCCCCTGGGACACCAGAAGGGGCCCCAGACCCTTTCGCGTGCTCCGCCCACGCCTCATGCGAGCAGCGCTGGTGTCGAGAGGTTACGGTAGGTTCGTGCGGCCATGGCGCGCCGGCGACGCCGGCGAAGACGTTCAAGGTTGAGTTCCGCACGATAGAACGACGCGGAAGCACCGATGACACGGTAACGCCACAGGACCTGACGGCATTCAACCTTGAATGATCGGGGCCGCGATCGGTTCAAGGTTGAACGATCGAGGCGGTGTCAGAAACTTCCGCGTTCACCGATGTCGCGCGAACCTACCGTATGCCTGCGCGCATTGTGCGTAGCTCGCATTGTGCTGGACGCCACGCGTAGGTGCACGAGCACGTCCACAAACGATGCCCAGGTGAGTTGCCCTGATCAGGGATGTGGAGGACCATGCCGTGTAATAGGGGGTTGGGCAAGCCGTCATACCCCAAGAGGGGGAGGATGGAGGAGGAGTCGGAGGAGGAGGAGGAGGAGGAGGAGGAGGAGGAGGAGGAGGAGGAGGAGGATGAGGAGGAGGGGGAGGAGGAGGAGGACGGAGGAGGAGGACGGAGGAGGGGCGTGAACGGAGGAGGGGCGGGGAAGGAGGAGGGACGAGGAGGAAAAGGCGGAGGATGAAGAGGATGAAGAGGAGGGGGGAAGGAGAGCAAGCAGAATGGCCAGAGGCCTCTTGGATGCCTCTCGGGGTCTCTTCGGATGTTTCTTGAGAGCTTCTTACAGACCTTTTGGGGTGTGTTGGGGGCCTCTTGGCTGTCCCGGGGGCCTCTCGGAGCGTCTTGGGTGCCTTGCGGGAGCCTATCGGGGCATCGTGGGCCTCCTGGGCGCCTCTTGGGGCCCTCTTGGGGCACTCTGGGGAGCCTTGGGGGCCATGTTGGGGCCATCTTGAAGGAGTTCGATCGACGAGGGACGGGTCCTCAGCGCCGTCCCCCCCAGGAGGCCCACATTGGTCCGAAACCGTGGTACAATCACGGACTTCGGTCCTCTTGCCAAGGCCTTCTTGGGCGCTCCAAAACCGGCCGTCCAGGTCCAGGGAAGGAGAGGGGGAGGGGTCAAGGCACCCTCCCCGCCCGCAAGCCGTCTCGCTCACTCCCACCCGCTCTCCCAACACCCGAGCCGCAGCAGTTCCAGCGACCTAATGGCAGGTCCCTGCGGCACGATGCGGGGCCCGATGTTCTCTCTCCACGCCGACGTTGCCAATGCATCGCCGACGTCGCCAGCGCATGGCCGATGCATCGCCGATGCATCGGCGATGCATTGCCGATGTATCGGCGATGCGGCGAGATCCTCCGACCCAATTTACTCCGACCCTGTCTAGGAGGCCTCTACGTCCGTGGTCCTTGGTGGTCGCGACGGAGGAGGAGGAGGCGGAGGAGGAGGAGGAGGAGGAGGAGGAGGAGGAGGAGGAGGAGGGGAGGAGGAGGAGGAGGGAGGAGGAGGAGGAGGCAGAGGAGAGGAGGAGGAGGAGGAGGTAGGACAAGGAGGAGGAGGAGGAGGAGGAGGAGAGGGTAGAGGACAAGGAGGAGGAGGAGGAGGAGGAGGAGGAGGAGGAGGAGGAGGAGGCCTACTTCTGGTGGTGGTGGTGGTGGACAACGAGCCCACCCTGCGGGCAGGTCCCCGCGGCGAAGAGGCTGAGCCTGGCGTCCACCGGCCTCGCGGCCTTCCGCGCTGGCGGCGCGGCCGGCCAGGTGCGGCGGGCCCCTCCGCGCGTCGCGGTCGTCGTCCTCGTCCTCGCCTGCCCCAGAAGGGCCTCCTCCTCCTCCTCCTCCTCCTCCTCCTCCTCCTCCTCCTCCCCGTCCTCCTCCTCCCCGTCCTCCTCCTCCTCCTCCTCCTCCTCCTCCTCCTCCTCCTCCTCCTCCTCCTCCCCGTCCTCGTCGTCCTCGTGGTCTCGTCGTCGTCGCTTCGGTGGTGTCTGACAGGGTCGAAGTCATCCAGGGCAGGGAAAGGTACCCATACCTCTGCCCTGCGCCCGTGTTTCTTTTTCTTGGGGCCTCCTCGGAGGTCTTCGTCGCCACTGTTGGATTCGCCCCGAACTTCTGGTCAGAATTCACCCCAGCAGAGGTCCATGGAGTAGCAGTATCGGTACCTTTTGGCTTCCCACGTTATCGTCCTCGTCGGGCCCCCCATTCGTCGTGGTCCTCGTCGTCGTGGTGCTCGTCGTCGTCCTCGTCGTCGTCGCAGGCATTGTCATCATCGCCTTTGCCGTCGTCGTCGCCGTCGTCGTGGTCCTCGAAGTCCGTTCACTATCATGAACCCTCCCCGCCAGCACCGACCCCGCTCCTGGGGTTGCCTCGAGCCGCCCTAGGGTGATTTTCGAGTCCTCGTGCATTTCTGTTATAAGGGTGGTTGAGGCATTTCTTGGGGTGCATGTGCCAAGCGCGGTGCTGGCGGAGGTAAGGAGGGGAGTCGGACATCCTGTCCGATGTGACCTGTTCGCCCACCTCCTCGTTCTCATCTCCCCAGTTTCTATTTCCTTACTGCTCATCTTCACGCTTCCGATGATCCGGGGAAGAAGAACTGACATAAACATGAACTTCCAGAGATTCGCGCGGATTTCTCGGATCGGTGCTGGAGCCCCCTGGCGGCGCCTCCGGTGCCGCCCCTGGCGCGCCCCGTTCGCCAGGGAAGGGGGGTCAGCGACGATCCGAAATCAGCGCGGACCTTTGGAGGAATGTTGTTTGTGCCGCGTTTTTGTACTCTACCTTTATGTCGGGCATCTCAGGAGGTGTAGTCAAACAAGAATAGCCGGGGGACGACTTGGCGATTATGTTTGGGCTATGCTCGAGCATGTTTGGACCCGCTTTCGTCTGTCTTCCATCATCCGCCCTTAGGGGGGCATGCCCGACCCAACTCTACTTCTCGCGCCTGCCCCCTCCCTCGAGTTATATACTGCTCCGGCCTACTATATTCAGGAGGAGAAAAAACACATAGACACAATGAATCGCCCACTCTCAGGAAAATATTGGAAAATATGGGAAGTGGGGGGGAAGACAAAAACCCAGAAAATATGAGAAAAGATGGGGGATATTTTTGTTTGTGTGTATTTATTTGTGTGTCCCTCTGGTTTTCCCAATGCAACGTCTAGGCTGAATTGCACGCCCTGCCCGCGGAACTACCTGCGGGGGCGCCTCTTCGGGGCGCCAGTCTTGGGGCCTGTGAGCACCCAGGGCCAAAAACGGCTAATACGGAGAGGCACGCAACAGAATTACGATACAAAATTGTGCTGATCTGGATCGCCTGGCGTTTCTGCTACGAATACATGCTATGTTCAATGCTCCTTGTTTTTTGTTGTTTGTTGTTTGTTGTTGTTGTTTGTTGTTGTTGTTGTTTGTTGTTTGTTTGTTGTTTGTTGTTTGTTGTTTGTTGTTTGTTGTGTTGTGTGTTGTGTGTTGTTTGTTGTTTGTTGTGTGTTGTTTGTTGTTTGTTGGTTGTTGTTTGCTGTTTGTTGTTTGTTGATGGTTGTTGGTTGTTGGTTGTTGGTTGTTTGTTGTTTGTTGTTTGTTGTTTGTTGTTTGTTGTTTGTTGTTTGTTGTTTGTTGTTTGTTGTTTGTTGTCTGTTGTCTGTTGTTTGCTGTTTGCTGTTTGCTGTTTGTTGTTTGTTGTTTGTTGTGTGTTGTTTGTTGTTTGTTGTTTGTTGGTTGTTGTTTGTTGTTTGTTGTTTGTTGTTTGTTGTTTGTTGTTTGTTGTGTATTGTGTGGTGTTTGTTGTTTGTTGTTTGTTGTTTGTTGTTTGTTGTTTGTTGTTTGCTGTTTGTTGTTTGTTGTTTGTTGTTTGTTGGTTGTTGGTTGTTGGTTGTTGTTTGTTGTTTGTTGTTTGTTGTTTGTTGTTTGTTGTTTGTTTGTTGTTTGTTGTTTGTTGTTTGTTGTTTGTTGTTTGTTGCTTGTTGTTTGTTGTTTGTTGTTTGTTGTTTGTTGTTTGTTGTTTGTTGTTTGTTGTTTGTTGTTTGTTGTTTGCTGTTTGCTGTTTGTTGTTTGTGCAGCGTTTTGGTACTCTACCTGTATGTCGGGCATCTCAGGAGGTGTAGTCAAACAAGAATAGCCAGGGGACGACTTGGCGATTATGTTTGGGCTATGCTCGAGCATGTTTGGACTCGTATTCGTCTGTCTTCCATCATCCGCCCTTAGGGGGGCATGCCCGACCCAACTCTACTTCTCGCGCCTCCCCCCTCCCTCGAGTTATATACTGCTCCGGCCTATTATATTCAGGAGGAGAAAAAACACATCGACACAATGAATCGCCCACTCCCAGGAAAATATTGGAAAATATGGGAAGTGGGGGGGGAAGACAAAAACCCAGAAAGTATGAGAAAAGATGGGGGATATTTTTATTTGTGTGTATTTATTTGTGTGTCCCTCTGGTTTTCCCAATGCAACGTCTAGGCTGAATTGCACGCCCTGCCCGCGGAACTACCTGCGGGGGCGCCTCTTCGGGGCGCCGGTCTTGGGGCCTGTGAGCACCCAGGGCCAAAAACGGCTAATACGGAGAGGCACGCAACAGAATTACGATACAAAATTGTGCTGATCTGGATCGCCTGGCGTTTCTGCTACGAATACATGCTATGTTCAATGCTCCTTGTTTTTTGTTGTTTGTTGTTTGTTGTTGTTGTTTGTTGTTTGTTGTTTGTTGTGTGTTGTGTGTTGTTGTTTGTTGTTTGTTGTTTGTTGTTTGTTGTTGTTTGTTGTGTTTGTTTGTTGTTTGTTGTTTGTTGTTTGTTTTGTTGCTTGTTGTTTTTGTTTGTTGTTTGTTGTTTGTTGTTTGTTGTTTGTTGTTTGTTGTTTGCTGTTTGCTGTCTGTTGTTTGTGCCGCGTTTTGGTACTCTACCTTTATGTCGGGCATCTCAGGAGGTGTAGTCAAACAAGAATAGCCGGGGGACGACTTGGCGATTATGTTTGGGCTATGCTCGAGCATGTTTGGACTCGTATTCGTCTGTCTTCCATCATCCGCCCTCAGGGGGGCATGCCCGACCCAACTCTACTTCTCGCGCCTGCCCCCTCCCTCGAGTTATATACTGCTCCGGCCTACTATATTCAGGAGGAGAAAAAACACATAGACACAATGAATCGCCCACTCCCAGGAAAATATTGGAAAATATGGGAAGTGGGGGGGGAAGACAAAAACTCAGAAAATATGAGAAAATATGGGGGATATTTTTATTTGTGTGTATTTATTTGTGTGTCCCTCTGGTTTTCCCAATGCAGCGTCTAGGCTGAATTGCACGCCCTGCCCGCGGAACTACCTGCGGGGGCGCCTCTTCGGGGCGCCGGTCTTGGGGCCTGTGAGCACCCAGGGCCCAAAACGGCTAATACGGAGAGGCACGCAACAGAATTACGATACAAATTTGTGCTGATCTGGATCGCCTGGCGTTTCTGCTACGAATACATGCTATGTTCAATGCTCCTTGTTTTTTGTTGTTTGTTGTTTGTTGTTTGTTGTTTGTTGTTTGTTGTTTGTTGTTTGTTGTTTGTTGTTTGTTGTTTGTTGTTTGTTGTTTGTTGTTTGTTGTTTGTTGTTTGTTGTTTGTTGTTTGTTGTTTGTTGTTTGTTGTTTGTTGTTTGTTGTTTGTTGTTTGTTTGTTGTTTGTTGCTTGTTGCTTGTTGCTTGTTGTTTGTTGTTTGTTGTTTGTTGTTTGTTTGTTGTGTGTTGCTTGTTGGTTGCTGTTTGCTGTTTGTTGTTTGTGCCGCGTTTTGGTACTCTACCTTTATGTCGGGCATCTCAGGAGGTGTAGTCAAACAAGAATAGCCGGGGGACGACTTGGCGATTATGTTTGGGCTATGCTCGAGCATGTTGGGCTATGCTCGAGCATGTTTGGACTCGTATTCGTCTGTCTTCCATCATCCGCCCTTAGGGGGGCATGCCCGACCCAACTCTACTTCTCGCGCCTGCCCCCCTTCCTCGAGTTATATACTGCTCCGGCCTACTATATTCAGGAGGAGAAAAAACACATAGACACAATGAATCGCCCACTCCCAGGAAAATATTGGAAAATATGGGAAGTGGGGGGGAAGACAAAAACCCAGAAAATATGAGAAAAGATGGGGGATATTTTTATTTGTGTGTATTTATTTGTGTGTCCCAGGGCCCCTTCATATATAGCCTGGACCCCCAGGAGGAGGATCTCGAGCACCAGGCGAGTGCCGAAGCTGGCTGGCTCTCCCACGTCGGGCCCCGGGAGGCGATACTCGCTCGCCACTGCTTAGCGATACTTTTCTGGGTGCTCGGCATTATCTCTGGGATGTGGCCCTCGAGCGTGATGCCGCAGGCCTCGCACCAATATCGGCGCTGTTCCTCCACCGAGGGAAGAAAGATCCCGACCTCGGTGATGGTGGCCGAACTATTACCACCAACACCGAAATCCAGGATCATCTTCCCCCCTGTGGAGGCAGCCCCCTCGTCTTGGCCTTTGTGCCCATGTCCAGGCCTCCAACGATGGGAGCACCGTTGACCCTCCAGGGGCCCGGCGCGCGGACCCGCTCCAGAGACCCTGGGCCCCGCTCGGGCCAAGAGGGCGCTGGCCGAGGCGGGGAGGAGGAGGAGGAGGAGGAGGAGGAGGAGGAGGAGGAGGAGGAGGAGGAGGAGAGGCGAAGGAGGAGGAGGAGGAGGAGGAGGAGGAGGA